TGTTAAAACTACTAAGTCAGGCACAGCAACTTTTCGTATCACCGGTGCTAAAAATTTTATTGATTATGTTATTCCACATTTTGATTCATATCCACTCTGTACTCAAAAAGGGATAGATTACGCTATTATTACTAGTATTTAATTAGTATCTGTATTAATGTAGGGCGTAGTGTTTCTTAAGTCTAATTCCCTCATTATTAGTGAATTAATAATTAAGTCTATCCAGGAACAATAAAAAATAATGTTAGATCCTTAGTATTACGGGTTTATATAAAGCATAAATGTAACATTAACTTCGGTACTATAAAGTAGTTTTTTAGTATTACAGTCTGCCAACCAGGTATACTAATAATAACCCAAGTCTAATTATACCGGAATAAAAAGGGAATAGAATACTAACACAAACCAACCTCCTGCTCATTACTAAGAAGAAAATAGGGCAGAATGTAGAAGTAGAATTAGATAACAACAGAGTTTAATAAAATCACAGCATAATATTAAATAGAGGTATATAAGAATAAGGATAAGGATAAGGAAATAGAAATATGTATTATATTAATAATTAAACCGGTATTGTAATGGTAGCAACCCAGGCTCATGACCTGGTAGTGTAGGTTCAATTCCTACCTGGGGTTAAAAAATTTATAAAATTAATAGAGGCAAATAAGAATAAGGATACAATGAAATAAGTTACGACTTATTAAAAAAAGTAGAAAAAAGAAAGGGAATGATTTCCTATAGTAAAATGACCAGTGTATGATCATGGCTCATTATGAACGCAGGTCTTTGGCGTAACACATGCTGGTAAAATAAATACAGAAGTATTTTTTGCAGAAAGGTGAGTAACGGGTCTATTTACCCAATCAAATAAGTGAAACTTAAGATTGGATGATTCACCCAAAAGATTAGGTAGATGGTTGTCATAATAAAATGACTAGAAAATTAAAAAAATTCTATTGGTAAAAGCAAACCATGCCTGTGATCTTTAGCATAGGCCACAGAGGGTTTAAATGAAGACCCTTCCCTTGGCAGCAGTGAGGAATATTGGGCAATGGGCGAAAGCTTGACCCAGCCAATGACAGCAGAAGAAATTTTGCTAACTTAAATCAGTATAATGAACTTGATTTTAGTGAATAATCCCGGCAAAACCTGTGCCAGCAGCCGCGGTAATACAGGTGGGATTGCGTTTTAAAATATTGAATAGGCATTAAGTGTGATTAGGTGGCTAATGATTCAAAAATGAATATAGCTTGAGTTATAAGAGGAGAGTTAGAGGAATAACCAAAGGAAGGATGAAATCTATAGATATTGGTTGGAACATCAAAAGCGACAGCATCACTCTATTTTATAACTGACACTGAATCACTAAAGTGTGGGGAGCAAACCGGATTAGATACCCGAGTAGTCCACACCCTGAATACTGAATGTTACAATTAATAAACTAATTATTTAAACATTCCGCCTCCATAGTACTATGGCAACATAGAAATGGAATTGATTTGGCGGGTTTTGACACCAGCAGTGGAGCATGTGGTTTAATTGGATGGTACGCCCTAAATCTTACCTTCTCTTTATGGTTTATACCTTTGGTGTTGCATGGCTGTTGCAAGTTGGTTCAGTAATGACTTGATAACCAGCGATACGTGCAATTACGCACCCCACTTCAAGCACGCACGGCCCAATGAGAAGGGCTACACACATGCTACAATGGTAACTATCAATTTAACAACCGTTACCTCAGTTCGGATTTTAACCTGTAACTCGGTTAAATGAAGCTGGAATTGCTAGTAATCGCAGTTTATCATCCTGCGGTGAATTAAAGTCTCAAGATTGTACAAATCGCCCATCATGCTCGCCAAGATTAATTTAGTAATAGTTAAGTTATTGGTACTATTTTTATAAGGCGGATAAAGCCTATTTTCCTAGTCCTTAATTGTGCTATCTTGATTTAGGGGAGCAAAGTTGTAACAAAGTCACGGTTGGTGAACCAGTTGTGAAAATAAATATTAATCTTTTAATACCCTATTACTTTTAGCTTGCTATTCAGCATACTCATTATACTCATCTTTTCTTAAAATTATAAACAATAAACAATCAAATCATGAAATTTAGTTTAATCCCCAAAAATGAAGCTCGTTTTGTATTTAACGATTTGAGTGATAAGGCATTAATTCGCCGCAATTTTAAAGGTTCACGTAATTAGGTTTACGTTTGGACTGTAAATGGAGAGGAGTACGTTGGTTCTACTTCTCGTGGTTTTGACCGTATCAATGAATATTTTACATTAAATTCCCGCAAGATTTCTACCAAACCTCGTGAATTATTAGGTTCTAGTAATTTTGTTGGTATTACTTTATCTGTTTTTGAATTCGATTCTTTTTTAGGTGCCAAGCAATTTGAGCAATTTTGTTTAGATCATTATACTTGTTCTGTAAATGTGAATCGCCAAGTTCGCATGACAGATGTTGATACTGGAAATATTCCTGTCTTTATTTATGATAGTCTTAATGATGTTACTACTGCACACGTTAGTATTCAAAGTGCTGCAGATGCTGTCGGTGTCGCTAGATAGACTGTTATACGTGCTTTATCTTCAGGTAAAGAAGTTAATTATCGTTTCACTTTTTCTTTATCTCAGACTATTGCTAAGCCTGGGGTGAAAAATGAAATTAGTATTCCTGTTTTTGTATATAAAGATAAAGTATTAGTTAACGATCTGCCTTTTCCATCTAGAAATAAAGCCGCAACCTTTATGAAAATAAGTCTTACTGTTTAGGTTAAACATCTTGACACGGGACATATTATCAATGGTTATAGTTTTTTTTCAGAGTTGCTTTCTGAAGATGATTAGGCTAACACTAATTTTACTGTGTATGAATTGGCTAAACACTATACAGGTACTCCTGTTTGGGTTTATTTAAAAGATGAATTAATTGAACAATCACCCTTTTCAAGTTTCGCTAAAACTGGTGATTTTGTTGGCTGTTCTGGTAAAACTATTAAAAATTATCTTGATACAGGTAAAACTTATAATGGATACCTTTTTTATTCAAAAGAACTTAATAGCTAATCTTTTTGTCGTGAAATTCAAGGTAAAGTAACTGTGAAACCCAGTAGCAAAAAAAATTTTGACAAATTTGAAGACAAAATAGCTACACATTCCCCCGGCTTGCCAATTGTTTTTATCATTATTACTTTTTTATGCACTTATAGCCCAATGAAAAGGGTTTCATGAATTTGAGTTTTATTTAGATGGATAGGTAAAATTTATGATTATGAAAACTAGTTTAGATATACGTTCTGCTGATTTAATCTTTAATGATTAGACAGACAAAAGAAATGTTATAAAAGTATTGCGACAATACGAAGGACCGGCTGCTTATTTAATTATAAGGAAAGATGCGCCTGGTTGGGAATATATCGGGTCTACTATAAATTTGTCTTATCGTACCAAACAACTTATGTCTGAAAATTTAAAAAAATATCATAATCCGGGTATAAAATCTGATATACTTATGGTTATAGTGCTTTTGAATTATATATTTTTCTTTTCGATACTGAAGAGGAAGCCATAATTTTTGAACAAGAAGTCTTAGACACTCATTTATGTAACTATAATATTGCCAGAAAAGTTGTTATAATTTTAATATTGATTATTCTAATACAAGTAAAATTGTATTTGTACATGATAATTTAAATAAAAATATTGTATCTTATCCTAGTGTAAAAGCTGCTAGTGTCGCAACCGATTTGGCTATAAATACAGTACAGGTTGCTCTTAAAAAAGGTAACTTGGTCTTAAGTCGTTACCATTTTACTTTAGATGGTAAAACAGATAATTAGATCGTTCCCCTAGTTTGGATACTTATGTAAATGTTTATGATAATGATGTTTAAGTTACAGGGTCTCCTTTACCAAATATTTATGAAGCTGGGAAGGCTATTAATGAATCACGTCAAGCTATTTATTTAACTATTCAAAATAAAAGATTACTGAAAAATCGTTATAGATTTGAAGTAGTCCCATTCTCTTCTACTATTTTATTTTTGTTGCTTATTGTCTAATTAGTACTAAGGTTGTACCGGTAATCGTCTGTAAATCTTTTTAGATAAATTAATTACATTTTTCTTATTTGGTACTTTTATTTACTAATTTAGTAATCTCTAGAATAATTTTTTTTCATATGAAATTGTGTAAGGTGTAGTTTAATTGGTAAAACACCAACTTGTCAGGTTGGCAGCTGTGGGTTCAAGTCCCATCACCCCCATATTGTTGGTGTAGTTCAATGGTTAGAATTTTGGTCTCCAAAACCAACGATATAGGTTCGATTCCTATCACCCCTGGGTGTACCATAACTGGTGTAAAACTTATTAGATAAAGAGGTTTATAAAAGTCGTGTCGTCGTATCCTAACTTTAACTCCTTCTGATGCTATAAATGCTAAAGGTTAAGGTGGTTTTATTTAAAGTATTTTAGATTTAATAATTAATTATAAGCACAATTGTTTGAACAAGAATGTTTATATTTTTATATTTGTAATCTTAATACTAATCATAAAGTTTTATTAGGTTCATGTTACGAAGATCTTGCTATTACTTTAGTTTAAAGAGATAATATGAAATTAATTAGTTTTAATTCTTTAGTTTAAACAGTCAACTGAATAAGATAAAATTACGCAATATCGGGTGCTGTCTAGTTTATTTTTTAGTTTAAGTAGGAATCTTAAGAGTAATTAAATTCAGGTTCCAGCTTCTATAGTAAATGATGTTAAATTAATTTAGTCTAAATTTGTTTTCAGTCTGCTTAATAAAAACGTGAGACAGTTAGTAGATCTATTAAAGTGGCTGAAGTAATAATTTTGGAATAATTAAAAAGTATTTCCTTCTATTGCTACTTTATAAAACATATTAATCGGTAGTAGATATTTATATTAATTTCATATAAAGAGGTTTTTTATAGTTAGGAATGAAGTAATCAGAGAGGAATTAATAAAATAAAATAATAGGGTGTACTCTAATTGGCCAGAGATCCGACTGTAAATCGGTGGTTTATTCCAATGTAGGTTCGAGTCCTACCACCCACACATATAAATACATCATAAGGCGTAGTTTAATGGTTAGAATTCTGGTTTTGGGAATCAGCGATATAGGTTCGATTCCTATCGCCCTGATTTATAAATATTGGTGTAGCCAAATCGGTAAGGCAATGGTTTTTGGTACCATGATGTGTAGGTTCGAGTCCTGCCACCCCTGTGGATAGGTAGGTTAGTCCGGTGTGGAGAAATTGGTAAACTCAGTGGACTCTAAATCCACCGTCTTTGACTTGTGGGTTCAAGTCCCACCACCGGCATCGATATATTTTTATGGTGTAGCTCAATGGTTAGAGCATCTGACTTTTAATCAGAGGGTTGCAGGTTCAAGTCCTGTCACCCGCTCCATTTATTTCACCTTTATTTGAGTGTGTTTTAAATAGCGGATAATGTTATATAATATAGTGTGATATAATCTGATGTAGTATGATGTGTTTTACATTAATAAATAGCACAAATTCATGAAGTTTATCTATCTAAATATGGTGTAATTTTAATAAACACAACCTTGCTATAATATCCAAACTATAATACCCTGGATAAAGGGTAGGAGTAAATTACCAAAAACTAATTTTCGATACCCAGGTTGAAGATATTACTCTAACTTACGCTAACAAAGTCCATTAAACTATCCTAGAATTGAATCATCACACGCAACCAGGTAAGCTAATATTAACAACACCACTTAATAGGTAGCATCCAGTGTTGTTCTCAAAATTCTTGTTCATTCTCAACCTGTTCTACGGTTCATATATTTGTGCCCCTTTATCGTTCAGGTAAATTACAGGTGCAATCTTTGTTTGGTTTTAATAGTTAAGTATATAGAGGCTTTATTTTTAACAAGAAAATTTTTTATCACCCCATTATAGAGGAGATAACATACACATTACCGTTAAATAGAGGCTGATTTGTTTAAGCGAGTTAAAAGAATAGGAATTAATTATAAGCATGGCTTATTAACAGATTAATTCCACTAATATTAATATTAAAATGATCTTAGGTTTAGGTTTAATGGTGAGTGTATATTTAGTTTTCCTCGTTTTACCAGGTGCCTTAAGTATAGGTTCATCTAAATTAAAAAATCACATGGTAAGTAGGACGGCTACATTAGTTATTTTTGTTTATTAGCTATTTCTTATTTATTGTTTAATAAATTGGCATGGTGATATTGTATTTATGGATGGTTTATGTAAAATTAATACTACTATTTTAACTAGTGAAATTTATATTTTAATGTTAGTTTTAATTATTTTACATTTACAAGCTATTTATTCTAAACGTCCTGAATTATATTTATTATTATTATCTAATATTTTAGGTTTAATTTATATGATTAGTAGTAATGATTGGTTAATTACTATTACTGCTTGGGAATTATTTAATCTTTCTCTTTATTTAATTACTTCTATTAATTCAGATTCTGAAGCTGCTTTATCTGCTGCTATTAAATATTTCTTATTAAGTGCTTTAACAACAACAGCTTTATTATTATCTGTTGCATTATTATATGCTTTAACTGGTAGTACTCATTATGATAATCTTTATTTATCATTAACTATGATGGATACTAATTTAATTAGTTGGCCTTTATTATTAATGCTTATTCCTTTTTAGTTTAAATTAGGTGCTGCTCCTTTACATAATGTTAGTATTGATTTATATGATGCTGTACCTACATCTATTACTATTTATCTTATTAATATTTCTAAATTAGCTGTATTATTATTTTTATTACAATTAATTCCTTAGTGGAGTTCTACTATTTCTACACATAATTTTATTATTTTTGCTGGTATTGGTTCTTTAATTGTTGGTTCTATTGGTTTAGGTAGTCAATTTAAAATTAAAAGATTTTTAAGTTATAGTAGTATTTCACATCTTGGTTTTATGTTATTAGCTTTAGCTTCTTTACAAATTGATAGTTTTCTTTATTATGCTTTTATTTATTTTATTAATAGTATTACTATTTTTACTATTCTTTTAGCTTTAGGTCAAATTCATGGTCGTGAAATTACTTTTATTCATCAACTTTCTGGTTTATTTAAAATGAATATTCCTTTAGCTTTAATTTTAGTTTTAAGTCTTTTCTCTTTTGCTGGTATTCCTCCTATTAGTGGTTTTTTTGGTAAATTAATTGTTTTAGAATCTTATTTATCTCAAGGTTGGATTACTATTTCTATTATTGCTATTTTAACTTCTATTATTAGTGCTGCTAATTATTTATATTTTGTTAAAGTTACTTTATTTGATCATGCTACTAGTATTGCTAATCGTTCTATTAATATTACTCCTTCTATTTCTTATTTACTTTCTGGTTTATTTAGTTTCTCTATTTTCTTTATTTTTAAACCCGCTAGTTTATTAATTTTATCTACTAATTTACTTGCTTTAACTGATAATTTCACTTTATTAATTTAAATCTACTTGATAATCACGCTAATTTAGCTTTATTAACAGGTGTATGTATAGTTGGAACATTAAGTAATAACTCTTCATCAAAAAGTTAGAATTTTCTACATTTTATTAAAAATTATTTTATTGATTAGTTAAAATCTAATTCTAGTTATAACTCGGATTCTAATGTAATTTGTTTAACTAGAACTGTAGAAGATAATAGTCAATCTTTAAGAATTGATACAAATTTAAATACATCTTTACCTGCTGTTTTAGATGATACTAATTCTTTAAATTCAGACTCTCCTACTCCTTTTGTTATTTCTCCTACTGTTAGTGAACCTTAGCCAGATTGGGTTGAATCTCGTCGTAGTTCATTAATTTCTCAGACTAGTTATTCTACAGAATTGTATACTATTGGTACTGGTTTGTTGGCAAATAGAGCAACTATTGTTTCAGTTGTACAAGAATTTACGGGGCCTCTTAGTAAAATAAATACTGCTATTCTTGTCGCAGGCGCAACTCCAGTTATAGCAGATTATTGTATGAACAAAAATTTACAAGTATTTGATGCAGATATTACTCGTCATTTAGATGATACATGTCCATTTACATTTCCTGCGACTGAAAATGAGTATATAAATAATACAACTACTAACTCTCCAACTAACACTACTTTTCCTTTATTACTTCTTATTGTTTTTCAAATATCTTTATTTTAAATTAGCTTTATTTTAATTAGTATTTAGTTTAATTTAGAACTACGTTAGGTCTGATTCCTTAAGGATACGTAGGCAACAATAGTACGACCTTTAGGGAGATAAATTATTATTATTTAGACCTAGATTCTTAACTATACCTAAAGTAATATTAGCTTATTATAGTTAATCCAAAGTAGTATTGTTTATTTATTCTAGATTACAATACCCTCCCTTAATTTGACCCTAAATATAAAATAGAACTAGATATAAAGGTGAAAATTTAAAGCAGAATACATTTTTATAGTGGTTGGGTCCGAGGTGCCATATAAATTGGGCTTAGTTCTTAATTTTTGTTCTATTAATTTTTGGTGTAGGGTATAAATAAGGGGGAAGTTTTATTTTAGGTTTTTTAGTTTTAACTACTCATACCTCTCAACTAATCCCATTACTTATTAATCTCACCCTTACCAGACAGGATCGGGGGGGTACTGCTACGGATATTTGGGTTATATTTAATTTGGGCCCCGTAAGATTAATTTTGGGTGTATTAGTATTAGGGTTTGCTCTGTTTATTTAGGTGGAGTGAAGTATTATTGTGGTTTCTGGTACAACCGGATTAGCGTAAGTATTGGTATTAGGGTTTGCTCTTAAAAATTTGGACCCTGGTAAATAGGACCTGATTCGATTTTTTGGTGTATTATAATTACCCTTTTGTATCGTGGTATTATTTATAATTGGACCTGTTTATTAATCTGGATAAATTTTCCTAAATTTATAGTGATGACCTAACTCTTCCAATATAAGGTCCGGCTAATCCTACTAGTTTCCTAGTGCTTCGTCCTAACTTTTTGCTACCTATTCTTTACATTTGTAAGGCACCCTACCCTACCAATACAAAGGTCTGGTTCCTGATATTTATATTTGGGTAGTATCCTTATTGGAATTTACCTTCTCCTTTTGTCTAGAGGCTTTTATCTTATTTTCTTTCTTTGAGATCCTTTTCCTCTTCACTTGGTCCTCACTCTGGTCCTATTGTTCTTATCTTGATGTATATTCTTGGCCTGATTTTAGCTATAGGTCTATAGCTAAGGAAGGACAGCAATCCAACCTTATGATCAAGTATCCAAGGATCCTTATGTGTTTTATTCTAATTTCCTAATAATATTTTAATTCTGGATGTATAGAAGTATCATAGATTTGAAAAAAACATTTCTCATTAGACAGGAATCCCTGTACTTTAACGGTAGGTATTCTGCCACTTTTTTCATAGTGGTATGGTTTGTCAATTTTATACTTTATTTATAGAGGTTTAATTTTTTAAGGAAAAAATGAATTTATATATTATTCATATCTTATTTGTATAATCCATATATTAATTAGTCAGCTTTATTTATTGTTGGTTTTATATATTTTAAGAACATTTAAATCTGTTTATTTCGGGTTTATATGCAAAAAAAATTAAAGAGAGTGACATTTATAGAATTTAAATTATGTATTTTGTTATATTATTTGGTAGTTAGATTTATAGTGTATGTGCTAAAATAACAACATTTAGTAGTGGAGTACTTTTTCTTTTGCCCGATTCACCTATTGAAGGTACAATGATGATGTCCGGTTATTATATTAATTACGAAGCCCTAGGTTTAAATTTAGAATACACAGTAATAATCTTATTTTTATTATGGGTTTGCTCTTATATTTATTAGTTATATTTAGTCTACCCTGGTAAAGATTAGACACAAAAACAATGTTCTCAAGTTTCTAAATCCGTTTTATATAGTTTTATTATTTGTATTGGGCTTCTGGGTTAGATGTTAGATGTAAGTAGTAATTCCACTTTATTTCTGGGGAGCCCATAGTTATATTTATGTTTTTTTGCTCAAGTTTTTAATTTTTCTG